AGTATAGAATGCAATAGATGACAGATAGATGATAGGTAGATAGATAGATAGATAGGTAGGTAGATGATAGCAGGGGTGAGGACATCATACCCATACTTGAGGAGTTAAGGAATGTTTTTGAAGGAACTGAAATTTCAAGTCAGTAGAAACAGCATGCACATAAGTGTTAAAACAAAGGAAAAACACAGCAAACACAATAAAACTGGGGCATGTGAGCAACACAGTATCCACAGATAAGCCTGCAAAGGTGAGATCATAAATTGTAAAACATATTAAGGAATATAAACTTTATCCTGAGTGTACTGGGAAACAAAATAATAAAATTAAGGTATTAAAATTATTTCAGAATCTTTTTCAATTTCAGAAGGATATCTATAAAATCCTAACTACTTATTGATAAAATAGTAAATAGTTTTCCCTTGAAGTTAGGACTAAAAGAATATATCTACTATCACCAATTCTACTAATTATATTGGTGGCCAGACATCATGCACAAGTAAAATAAATAAAAGGTATAAAATATATAAATATTGGAAAAAAGTAAAACTGATTTTCTTAATAGTTGACATATTTTGTTCATAGACATTTCAAAATAATCTACCTATAAACAATTAGAAATAATGAGTGGTTTTAGTAAAGTTGCTGGATACAGACTTAATATACAAAGTAAACTGTACATCTTACTTTAAACAACAGCACAATGAAATTTAATATCTATATCTGCAATCACATAAAAAGTCATAAAATATCATAGGTATAAATGTGTCAAAATATATGCAAGATGTCCATCCTAAAATATAAAACATTGTTGAGAGATTTAAAGGTCTAAATAAATTGAGAGGTGTAAATGGAATATGCCATTCCTCTAATTTAAAAGATTCAGATTATTAAAATGTTAATTTCCCTTAAGTTGTTCCATAATTTAAGTGGGATGAAAATTATTTAAAACTCAGATTTCTTTGTTTGTTTGGGATATGTGTGTGTGTATGGAGAGAAATTCAAAAGTTGTTTTTAAAGCTTATGGGAAAATGCAGAGGACCTCTAATAGCCAACCCAAAACAAGAAAAGTAAGTTGGAGACTTACACTACCAGTTTGTAAACATAGTATAAAGCTACATTTATGCCATATATATATACTGGCATAAAGTGATGAATGGAACGGAATAGAGAGAATAGAAGTAGGCCACACATTGATGTTCATTTGAATTATGATTAGGACCCCACTGTGATTCAATTGGGAAAGGACAGTCTTTTATTATATAGGATTACCCACCTAATAGTTTGGAGATTATTTCCATCACTGTGTCATTATAATGTATTTGCCATTAATTGATCATGTTTAGGGAAGTTAATAAACAGGACAAAAATCACATCATTTAAGAAAAAATATTCATTATCATGAGTTGTGAGTTGAATTTTTCAATAATTCACTTATCTCTTTAACTTGGAGGAAAGAGAAAGGATGGATTAAAAGAGATTTTTAAAAATGTATACTTTTCCCAAAACTTGGCAACATTCCTATGTAAAGCTATTCAGTACAATAGTTTCTGTGCATAACTGCCATGCTTTTATGAATCTGTCAATGCTAGAAATTTACATTAAGGATAATTTTAGACTTAATAATTGTATTAATATCCTCTTTAGCTTTACACCAACATTGCTGTAAGGATACAAAATTGAAAATAAATACTTTTACTGGCACTCCCATTAGACCCTAAGCAAAACTTGGACATTTTGAAATAAAATGCTCTACTTTACCATCAGTAACTTCCAAATATGCTTTTGTGATGATACTTCCGGCAACATTTAAAGTCTGGCAGATATAATAACCAACATCAGATCGCTGGACATTAGTAATAGTGAGATCACCAGTCTGGGAGACTGAAAAACGGCTGGATGACTGTGGTGGCTGATATGAAAACAGTAGATTCTAGAACCCAGAATTTTGGGGAGGGGGGAAGAATAACCATAGGTTAATTGCTGGGTTCCAATAATTTGCACATATATATGTGTATATATATATTTATAGATATATAAACATACACAAACACACCTACCACATACATATATATACACAAGTGAGCTAAATATTCTTTTATCACATGTTCACATATATAGATGTGCACATACATAAACACACAAATACATGAAGTTTAATGACCTAACCTTAAAAAGGATTAAAAATTCTAAATATTGATATATGCTTTTATAATTATCAGTTTCCAACAATACTAGATATAAGAGGATATTAGGTATCACTAGAGTTAAAAGTTTTACATACTCAACCAAGGCAGAGTCAAAAGCTATTTCATATATATATATATATGACTATCAGGATTATAAACACAGTTTTTTATTATATAAACAAAATGAAAATTTAAGCATATTTTGACAAGTAAAGTTCAAGAACATTATGTTAGCACTATAACAATATCTCTGCTAGACTTCCATTATAAAAGTTCAGTAGCCTCTATAAAATCGTTAATAATTTCTTTTTATCTTGCTAAGTGGTGACACATAATGAGTGTAAGAATTCATAATGGCGCTTTATTTCTGCAAAGTTATCATAAACACAAAATAGAGACAAAATGTGGTGTTATCTTTATGGTACAAATTTCTACAATGATTTGAAACATGTTTGTCAGAGGGAGTGTCTATTTTATGCAAAATAATATATCATGTTATTGTTTTTCTCATGAAGTAAAATATATCAACATTTCTTCTAACAAAAGGAAGTTACTCCTTTTTCAAAGTTCAGTTGCCTTTTAATATACATAAATTCAAAGAGACTTAATTACTATTCGATGATATATCTCCAATAACAAAAAAAGTTCTTAAAAGTAAGTCACATCGCCCTGGCTGGAGTGGCTCAGGTGTTTGAGTGTCATCCCATACACCAAAGGGGTGTCGGTTCGATTCCAAGTCAGGGCACATGCTGAGCTGCAGATTCAGTTCCCAGTAGGGGGAATATGTGAGGCAGCCAATTAATGTTTCACTCACATTATTGTTTCTTTCTTCCTCCCTCCCCCTTCCTCTCTCAAAAAATCAATAAAAAAGTAAATTGTATCATTAAACAAAACAAAACCAAATTAAAATTATTTTGAAATTTGATGTAAAGTTTAAATATCTTAAGGAATAATTTATTTACATAATTAAATGAATTGCTTAAATGTTACTTTATTAAGAACTTCTAGTGGAAGTTCTAGAAGGAACTAGTGGATTTACTAATATTGCTACACAAATTTTCTTATATAATACACTTCCAGTTCTTCCTGTTGTACTAAAATATTTTGTTTTTTCTTGTCCGTCAGCAAATTTAGTCTTTTGAGGCCTAATGGAATGTGTTAGAATCAACCAAGTTCCTAGAACTCGAATGATGTCCTACTTACCATAATCAAGTTAATATTTGCTTACCAAAAGACAATGGTAAACTTGATGTTACTGCCTATAGAAGATTACTGAGTACAGTGAGGAAACTACTTATATGATATTTATTAGCACAGTATAAGCAAGACCATGAAACAACACACCCATGTGTGATTTAAGGAAACAATGAAAGAGGTTAGGAATATATATATGCATTAAAAATGAATGAGAATCCTTCTTTTACAAGTATCAGAAACAAAAGAGAAAAAATTCCCTTTATTGAAGAAGGCAAGTTATTAAGAGATAAGAATAAAAGACTTCCATTTTAAAAACCATTTTATTTTAAAGTTTCCTATTATTTTAAAAGTGAAATTGTTTCAAAATTTCCTTTTCATTAAGCTGAAGTCCAACAGTTACCTTAGATTCTGTAAGGGCATACATCTCTATATCATAGTTTCAGGGTATATAGAAAATTATGGTTTATGAAATGTTTAGATAGTATGATTTGATAGTAAATGCTGATCACATAGGATCATTTTAAAAGAATTAGAATATATTGAGCTATACTTAGCATGATATCTGTGTTAAAGAGAATTCCATATTGTCTGATAAAATTTTAATGGATCCATAAAATAAGTGAACAAGACACTTCTAATTGCTGATGCTTTTGTAGGTATTGCACTAAATAATTGTCACCTCTGTTTTAAATGTGTATAAATATAATTTAACATATAATTATAGATATTTGCATAATATAAATTATAACTAATTATGTTGAGAAGAACATTTTTCAATGTTGCTGAATTGGAAATAAAAGTAATTTTATATAATAAAACAATTACTATTCTATATACCACCCTGTGTATCAGGCAGGAAAACTGCTTTGAGAATTAAAACAATGAAGAAAATTTTGTCTTCTCTCTCAATGCAAAAATTTCTATGACACTGAGATTTCACAATTTCTTACAGTGACAGCTATATGACTAAATAATATATTATACATATAAATATACACACATATTTATACATATATACGCCTGGCTCCTATTTTTGCTGATTGAAATAATAGACCAAAACCATACCTGACTCCCCTCTCTCCTCCAAAAAATAGCTGGTTGAGGATTTCCGGTTGCTTCACACTGAAAAGTTACAGTTCGGCCCAAGGCCACAACCTGGTCACGGGGCTTCACAACGAAATGCGGAGGTTCTAAAGGAGATGAAAGAAATCACACTGAATTAAAAGCATGTAGTTATTGTCTTAATTGAGAAATCTGCTGATATCCCAACTGCTGTCGTTATCTTATACAACTTGTTAAGTACTGTTGTCCATAATGTGCAAATTTTCATCCTTAATTCAATTGATGCTTAATTATAGTATATTTATAGAATGAAATAGGGTTGTTTTGTGAAGAGGTGTTGGTATTTTCTTATTTTTATTACCTGACCTTCTAAGGTTAACCTCTAAATTAAAGAGAGTTCTTGAGCTACAATTTGACCCCTTACATTAATTCTAAGTAATCCTGAAATTTGATTGAATAACTATCTTTTCTCATTTAGAATTGCTTAAAGGTGAATGGACTGTAATCCTACACACAAGAACCTCCTGATGTAGGCAGGTCCTAAGATTACATTAACTCAAAAGCTCCTGAAATGCTACCATGCAAATTATAACCCTTTAAAATCCTTAGTCCAATTACTTGAATAGAAATGCATTTAAAGCAATAGTAAGTCCAATGCCTCCTTCATTTACATAGGCAAGGGCATGTTCAAACAGAATATATATGGAAATGAGGGCAAATTTGAAACATCTGCTCATCTTGACACTATAAATACTGCCAGCTTTGCCCAAACTGTTTGATTTATACAGACTTAAATGGCCACTTCATCCAGCAGTAAATAGACTGTCAGAAAATTGTCTCAGTTACATGGAGACCAATGGCAGCTGAAAACATTAGGTGTGCTGATGGAGTCACTCCTGGGGGAAGAATGCTTGTTTGGGCTGTGCCCCTTGCTTGGAAAAATGTGCACTGAATGTAAGTCTTTCTGCCTTCTGTTTACACTTTTCACATTCATTTCTTATCAACTGTCTGAAACACCTAATTATTCTCCTCTCGTCTCACTTCAAATTGAAGGGAATGTTTCAAGCCAGGCATTTGACAGTTTATATAGGGTAGGGTTCTCCTAATCCACTTTTTAAGACTGTTTCATTGTTTCTAACATTTTCCTTAAAAGTCCTTTTAGTTACTTACGTCAGTCACTAAGGTTACCTCTATAAAAATGATATTCAGATTATTTCTACTTTGAATATGCTTCCACTTTGCTCACAAGAACCTTATTTGTTAATGAAGGTGAAGATTTGAAAGGGTATTTTTCTCTAGCTGAATATTTCTGGTCAATTAATCTAAGATACACACACATACAGAAATGTTTATAATATATTTCATGTATAAATTTTATATATATATATATGTGTGTGTGTATATATATATATATTAATTGAAATAACTCTTCAGAAAAGGAAATATGTAAAAGAACTAAATGGAAGATAACATGATGGCAAAACTGAAGAAAGCAATTACATCTCCTAACTTCTTCTATACTCCCTTTTTATTTTTAATTGAGGTTTAGTAGAAATTATACCATTTGACTAGAAAATTATAGGAGAGCCGAAAAATCAGGCCAAATGCCTTCAAAGGTTTTGTAACTTATAGGGAAGAAAATACGAAGTTAGGAGATATAGTTTAGGTTCAATTTGGTAACACTAAAGTTCTAGCTTATAATTTTTTTAAAACTCTGATTGTAATTGAATGGTTTACTCATGAATTTAGCAAACACTATCATTATCCGGGTATAATAAGCATGGACGTCATCGCTTGGGGATTTTCCTCCATACACATCATTCATACAGGAGCATTGGATTCCTTCCTTAAGGGTTGGAGTGATTAATTGATGTAGATATCAGAGGAAAAACTGAAAGGACTGACTGGATAATAAACCAAAGCCAGAAGAGACTTTAGTTTGTTTCAATAAAAAACACCAAATTATTAATTAAGTGAATGGGAGAATATAACTTTCCAATATGCAGGGAATTTGGGTAAGAAAATATAAATATTTTAACCATTTAGACAAGTAAAAACTTCGGGTGGTCTTTTTCCTATTTTCAGAAGCATGTCTAATAATGTGTGCCAGACTCCACGTTTCTTTCATAAAATGCCAGCTCTCCTCCAACCTCAAAGACCTACTTGGGAACAAGGGATGCAAACCCTTATGCTAACTACATTTTCCTGCAGCAATCCTTCCACACAGGATATTCGACTGGAAATGAATTTACTACATTTAAAGGTATATTGTTGAGCTAACATCAACAGTGACATCAGCCACAAGATATGTCTTAGAAATATAACAAAAAATGTACAGGGGTTGGCAAGAATAGGTTTTACAGTTAGTACATGAAACACAGTTTAATCTTACATTATTATGTATTAATTATTGTATTATTTTCTATTCAACCATAAACCTACTTTTACCCACCCCTGTATGGTAAACAGCAGATGTAAATATATCTTTAATTCATTTAAAAACAATATAAATGAATTAAATACACCTATCAATCCATCTTAATCACCTATCCATTTAGATTGAGAAGGTCGTTCATAATATGCATCTACTTAATGTTTATAATAAAATGTTAAAATATTTTTCAAGGCTATAACATTTAAACTTGCTCTAATTAAAAATAAATAATCATGGTACTAATGTTACATATGGTCAGTGTTGAAAATTTAGAAAATTAGACAAGCAAAGAAAAGAAGAAAAGCAACCTATAATTCAACCATGCAAACTGGACCATACTGTATTCACATGCAATATCATTTTAATGACTCTTTAATAATCCATATACAAGTTACCTTAAATTATTTAACCAATCCTTTAGTTTTAAATTTGGATTGTTTTCAATTTTCACTATTAAAAATAGTGGTAAGATTAACAGCTTCTCAATTATATTCAAAATTATTTCAACTCACACTTTCTCTAACAGGGCACTTTCCTTGGAAAACTCACAAACACCGAGCATTAACCTCTCAGCCAAACTGAACTTGGGATCTCCGCTTATTTAGCATTTTTATGTCAATTTCATTAAGCACTTATTACCTTGTTGTTGAGATCCTATTTGTTGTAGACTGTGTTCTACGCTTATCTTTTTATTGCTAAGAACTATTTATAGACTAAGATTTTATCTACTTCTCAGATATATGGTAGAGAGCTTTACATTTTGTTAAATCTTTTTAACCTGGTTAGGTGTTATTGTTATTCTATCAATAATATTATATAATGTAGATTACATAATACATAATATATAAATATGCAACTCCATTCTTATCCTGTACTTTTGTCTTTATTTTTTTATATTTAGGTTTTAATCGTCTATATCTTTGTATATAAAGTTGTATAGAGAAAGCTATTTTTTTTCAAATAGCCTATTATTATATCACCATTATTGAACAATCCAATCTATCTATATTAATATGAAGTGACACCTTTATAATATCTGTGCAGCTTTTTAACTGAAAGAAAAGAGAGGAGATATTTTTAGGGTCAAAATTATTTTCTGACATAACACTTAGCATATGCATACAAAATTCTCCAAAAATGGCATTCCCGCATCCCTTTAAAGAGTGAATGGACCTTCCCCAATGTACTGACCATGACAGTCTTTAAGAATAGGTTTATAACTATTTATATGAGAAGAAATGATTATCAAAGCAAACTTTAATAAATTTTGGGCACATCATATAGTTATTCCTTGCACAAAATGTAGTCAATCTGACACATAGATATGAAAATGAGTGCAAACAACTTAAACTGCAAGGTTATTCACCAATAGGACTTTTAATTACCATTATTGAACACTGTTATAAAATCTCAGATAGACAAACATGAATATGTAAATATGTTTTGAACAAAAAAGTCCAAATTGTTTTCTGGGCACCTATTTTGGTTTGTTTATCTTATGAGATATAAATTGAAACATTAATTCAACCACAATACAGACTATCACGTATTTTATCACTCATGAGAGAAAAAAAAATAAGGACTCAGATCACACATCATTCAATAAGACATAAAGTTAGCAACCCATTACCTTTACTCTTTGTCAGTTACCCATACTTCCTGCAGACTTTATTCTGCGCAGTCTGTCTTTGTGGCCAATGACAAGTGAAACATGGAGGCTGATTGGTTGAAGGACATGGAAGGGTATGGATGGAAAGGGGAAGAGAAGTTCCAGTCACAGTGACACGATGATTAGAAGATGGCCAATAAAATGTCAACTTACCAGACACAACTAAAACGAAAAAAAGAAAACATGGAATAAATAAAAATAAAGAAACAGAACGAAACAGAAAAAGTAATAAGATTTGACTTAACAATGATCTTTCTTTTAAAATAAAATAAAGAACACATTAATATTTGAATGCGCATGGTTCATACTGTCCATGAATGAGTATATTTTGTTAGCATTTTAAGTATAATTATGAATAATTTAAGAAAATTAGAAATGAATATTAAAATCTCTTCAGTGATTAGATGACAGAGCTACAGTGGATGACAGCTATAAAATTATAAAACACTTTTCAATGACTTTACATTTTTTTACTAGATGAAAGGATTAGATAACTATATGTTTAAATAGGTTTTTAAAAAAACACTATAATTATTAATTGATAATGTTATATAGATTAGATATCAAACATCTTAATCAAAGATAAAGAAGCATTAAATTCTATAACTCCACCATCCGATTATTTTGTAAAGGTTTATGCTGCCAATAATATTCTATTAAACTGTGTTTCTCATACTTGAATTAGCATACATAATTACCCTTAGGTCTGTTTAAAATACAGATTATGATACTATAGGTCATGAGTGTGGCCTGAAATTTTGTGTTTCTAAAAATCACCCGGATGCTGTTGGCCCATGATCACAGGTTGAGTATAAAGGCTATTAAAAGGCCTTACATTTAAATTATTGCATATTTTTAATTGAGAAGACATAAAAAATGTGAACACATTATGAAAACACAGAAAATTTTATAGCACTACCTAATAAAGTCATAATCATATTATCTGTTTTCAATGATGAATCATCAGGCATTTTAACATATCAAGTAATACATATTTTAAATACTGGAAAATGATTGTTTTGTTT